ACTAGCATAGCAGGGAATCAGCCAACTAGACCATTTAGTCAAGGGTATGGGAGGGAATCACACTGCGTAGGTAGAGGGGCTGGACTGGGATTGGAGCACGTACAACTTCGTTGCATAGTTTGGCCTCTCCATCCAAGTAGAGAGCAACCATTCAGCTCTTTCAGAGATACAATATAGCTGCAGAGAATATAAAAAAGCTACTTTATATAAAAGCTGGTGAATGTCACTATGGTACATTAACATAAGCAAATGAGCTATACAAGGGTAGGCTAGAAACAGCTGTAGTAACAGAAGACAAAGGAAGAACACTTTTATCCTAATTCTTCCTATGGGAGATACTGGAACTACAGGATGCAGAAGAGGAGGTAGAGGGGGACAAACAGGTAGCACAAATAAAAGGAGTGACAGACAAAAGCTATGCCTCATAATTTCCCTTGTTAATCCTGTAACAACTGAACACCAAAAATAATTGCAATTCCAAACTCTCTGCAGCAGGGACAAGCTGTGTGGAGCACTAGGGAATCATTTAATACAGTTTGGTACTACTTGGCCACAGGAATATTTCAGTTGCAAAACAGTGTGCTAAAACCTAAAACTAACAGTTCTGTTTCTGCTCAAACATCCAGGAAATTTAATGACACACATTAAAGTGGGGTTAAAATTATCTGAGAGTATGACTTTCCAGGAAAATGAGTTTAGCACGCTTTCCAAAAACTTTTCAGAATCATGCAACCATCATACGCAAATTTTATTCCTTTCTCTAAGTAACATCCTAACATGGAGTCAGGACTCAAAACATCTTTGGCAGGCAAACACCATCTATCAGAGTCAAAACAGAGACCTGTGACACCTGTAAATTATAAATGTACTAATCAGTATATAATTAATATTAGATTGTTGAACATAAGTGCACAAAATTATTGTTTACTAAAAATTATATTCAGGTATTCTCTAGCACTGCAATGGTGTAGCCAGACATGATACATAAGCATTTTACTTAGGTATGTGAACAATTTGAATGCCAAAGGGGCAAACAGTGATGGCAAACAGCTGCACACAGGAGTTACTCAGATGAAAAGTTGTCAGACAAAGGACAAGATTAAGTATAAGAGATTGCAAACAGAAATACACAATGAGGATGACTGACAAGTCACCAGAAAACAAGATAAGCAATGTCAAGTTCAGAGGAACCCTATGTTCCCGGGGATGGGGGCCAATAGCATAAAACCATCAGGTGCTAGCAAGGAAAACTGAAGAAGAAAGAAAATGAGCCCATTTCATCTCAGATTTCCCATGCCAAAGAGCTCTCAAGCCTTGTCAGCACTGACACTGCAACTAAGGACTTCCAAGGACAGCAGCTATGGGTTATCTACATAATTCAGCAAGAGAGTGCAGGCTGTTAGATCTCTGCAGGTTCCCACAGATGCCTCCCCTTGATCAGCTACAGAGGAATCAGACAAAAGAGGTCATTTTCCTGCCCTATGGAGGGCCATGTCCCTCCTAGAGTGCTTCTTACTACTATCACAGCCTGCTAAGCTGCTCCCACAGAGTCCTCCAGGAAGCTATCAAGACAACTATCATCAACACGGGGATGCATCTGGAGTGCATGTAGAAAATGTGCATCAGCTACTGTCAAAATCAGGACATAAAGTTAAGGCTGACTGAGCAGGTCTCTCAGTCCTCAGAAATCCAGATTTTGCTGAAATTCATGCACTGGTAAAGCCTGGGATATTAATTCAGGCTGGCGGTCAAATCTGCCAGATGTATGAGTGCAACAATAGATAACAAAATTGTAATTTTTCAGGGGAAGACTGGGCCATTGGGAATGATCATGAAAGACAGCTTTGATCATATGGAAAATGTCAGCATAAGTGCCATACCATAGATAGCCTTCCTAGATGAATGCACTGAAGAAACTAATTTTAAAAGAAGGTATTATCAAAAGTATCTTATCATCAAAAAACCACATGAAAATTTAAAAGCTGAAATACAGGAAGTCAGATAAACATTGCAAGACATTAAAAACAGTGCACATAAAAATTTCTTTATGGGTAATTCTGACTGAAATAATGAGTCATCAAGCACAATTAGTACATGCATACTATATTATGTATGATAGGCCTTGAAATATCCGAATCAACTCATTTCAAGGGATGTTAAGCTATTCCATTAGTACTGAAAGCCATCAGCCCATGTCATAAAAATGATGTTTGGTGATTCTAGCAATTTGACAGTATATAGTCCAGAACAATAACCACCAGCTATTGCATTTAGATGACTTAAACACAGGTCTGGCCAAATTACTTCATAGAACAAACAATTTTCACAGTTCTCCTTGTAAAATGGAAGGTGTTCTGCTGCTAGGTTTTGGGGGAGCTTTTGTTGTTGGTGGTTGGTTGGTTTCACCTATTTTATTTTTTTAAGATTTTATTTTAAAAAATCTCTAGACTAACCAAAATAAGGAATTCCAAGTTCGGAAAATGTTTATAGGGCAGATGTTGCCGCCTGGAACAACCTTTGAGTCCTTGAAGAAGTAAAAGTCACTGAGTAAATTTAACATTTCTGTCCTCTACTTAGCTTGAAGAATGAATCATTCCCTATGTGTTAGAAAATACCAGAGCACAACAGACTTTCTAAAAATAAATTGGTTCTTTTTAAGGGCCAAAGACATCTGTAGGTAATTCTGAAGAACTACTCAGTTTGCCATCAATCTGTGAATCAGTAATTAAATCTCAAGTTAATAGCATGCAACTAACAGATCCTTTTCGTCGGCAGTTTAATGATTTGAAACAATGTATATGTGTAACACCAATGCAATAAACAATGAAAATGCCAAGACACAAATTAGCTCTTTCTTAAAGGCCAATATAAAGAACAACCTCCCCCAAAATAGCTTAAAATTAGTACCTGTTCTTTCAGCATTTTTTTTTCCTGCAATGGATTTGAAAAGGGAGCAAGAAAATACACTCTAAAAGGTAACTTTATTTCAGAAAACCTTCATCCTCTATTTTTCAAAGTTCAACTAAAGATTAAAGTCTTTCATCAGCTTGAAGAATTATCTACACTAAAGCTGAAGGGAAACAGGAGCAACAGGACATGTTATTGCAAGAAAAGTCTGTTGCTTAGTACATGTATTTTAAATATGAATTTTAAATATGAACAACTGACTTATAACTGAAGTTAAAAAGCAAGGGTAAACTGAAGAAAATATAACGGATTTATGTTCAATGTAAGAAAAGGTAGTAACTACAAAGAATTCTCTGAGATGGCTAAGTCTCTTAACCAATAACATTTAAGTCAAGTAACACACTTGATCTCCTGTACTATTTGCAAGTGCTGTGTTTATTCATCGGCAAGTCAGACTTCTGCAAAATAAAAATAACTGTGGGAGAAGTCCCAGTCGTTATTTGATGGGGTCTCAAATTTTCCAGCAGTAATGATGAGACCAACTAACAGAAGTGTCACAATGCTAAACAGCAATGCCAACGCGTAACAGGTAGCCAGTGCATAAATGATGAATGGTCTTATGTAATCTCTTGCATCCTTCCTTCTTGGACACTTTCCTGTGTGACCTGCCCTGGGTGAACCTACTCTGGCAGCGGGGTTGGACTAGATGATCTTTCAAGGTCCCTTCCAACACTTAACATTCTGTGATACTATGATATTTCAAATAAAAATAAAATATCCATAAATATAGAAGTATTGGCATGTAATCCTCTGGAAGAAAAAAAAAGCATTAAGCTACGAACTGATAGAATTCTGGCGGTGATTAAGTGAGTGAACATAGTAAAGATAATGCATACATCACAAATAGAAGCTCTCTTTTGCAATGCCAGGTATAAGAATTTCTATAATTATTCAAGAAATACTTTTGCTCTTTCTGTCTTCAAATGGGCAGAAACAAAAGAAATTTCATAACCAATTTCCTGCAGCTGAGAAATTTCAGTTTGTAATTCCACATATAACTCTCAACTAAAGCATGTATTACATTAGACACACTGAAGTGACCACCCCATGTATTGCACACAACCATGTTTAGTCAGCTCCAGGAGAGGCCTGAAATGCCTTGGCTCAAGCAATGTAAGGAGATATTTGGTGTTCAGGAGAAGAAAGAAGTGTCTGGGGGCTCAGAAAGGACCAGTCAAAACCATGAGGGGCTGCTGAAGTGGATTTTTTCATGTTCTCTAAGTCTCAGTGCTCTCTCTAGAAATAGTGAATGCAAGTTTAAAGAAACCCACAAGTTCTTACTGTAGAATCCTGAAACATTTTCAAGGCAAACTCAAAATCCACTGGGGAAGTAGAGCTTTGCTGCCACGGCAGGTGGATCATACAGCATCAGCACTCAAATTGACACAAGGCAGGAGCTGCATCTGCTGGAAATACGCCAGGGCGAGTACACTGCTGACCCTCCAGAATCAAGAAGGCTTTAGCACTGAGATCAGAACCACTACCACTTGACAGGAATCAGGACAGGGAGCTCAAACAGGATTATGGCATGCAAGTAAGCATAAAAAATAACAACAAAACTGTCCTCCACTGTGGCAGAAACAGGATCTGGTAGAAATGGCAAACAATCTAGGCTGTTTGGAACATTTACACTAGAAACAGCATACCCATTTCTGTACTCACATATACATTTCTCAAAATCCTATCAATGTTTCTCTGGTAGCAGTATAAAAGCAGTGTAACATTAGTTCAGTGTAATTGAGCAGGACAGCATAAGAAACATCTCATTGCAAGCAACTGCACTTTCACTACTAAGTCAAAAATACCAAAAGATATTAACTTTTTAATAAAAGAAATTTTAAAGCTTTAGATTTTTTCTATTATCATGGTCACTTCCTCAAGAAAGTAACCTAAAAATATTTACAACAGCCCTACAAGTCTAGCATTTTTGGTAAGTCACATGTGCAAAAACTACCAGTTCTGTTTGCATAGTTTATAGTTTGTTAATATTAAATTCCTGAGGTATACACTGTGAATAAAGACTTGTTACTTACCTATCATACACATTGAGCAGCCAGTTAAGACACATGTCTACAGAGAGAGGAACATTCACCATATCTTTGTGTTTCTCTCCAAGTCCACTGTAGATGGTAGTGAGACAGCTGATCACATCCTGGACACCAATCAGCTGGTCATTTTGACTCAACTTGTGCTGTTTGAAAACTTCACTTGTTGTGTTCAGGTCCAATAGGTCCACTAAAATCAGGTAAAAAAATAAAAAAAAGGAAACCCATGTAAATAGAGATGGCACAGCATTCACAACACTTGTTCATGTCTGTACTTTAAGCAAACACTGCAGACAATTAGACAAGAAGTAGCTTTCTTTTAGGAAACATTTTAGTGAAAAAAATGTTCTCTGTGACAATCAGGGTACTATATATTTATATTATATATAAATACAGTATATATATACACTATACATGTGTAAAAAAGCTACATGTGTAAAAAAGCTACATGTGTAAAAAAGCAGAATCAACAAGAACACTGTAATGACTCTGCACAGCTCAGACCATTTTAAAAACCACTGAAGTAGTCTGTGTAAGTAGAGGACCCTAACTTCAGATATACACACACTGGGAGTCCACTAGGCTTAGAGGATTCTTCACATTTACCATAAAGCAAAATCCCATTAAAGGACTATCACTTTTGATTAAATGTATAAAAAAAAAAGCAAGCAAATTCTTTGGTAACAAGGTTCACAGGAATGTACTGAGGACTGATTAACCAAACAGCAGTTGCTAAATTAGAGCTTAAAAGAAAGCAGGGAGAGGGATACACGGAAATTATTTATTGCGGTTTTCTAGAATACTAAATGCTATGCTTCCATGAAAAATATTTTGAACTCCCTCATTAAAGTATTTTTTCTGTAAGCAGTTGATGATGCTATGCATATCCTACAGATGAAAAGGGTTTTGTTCCCAAAACCACAAAAATGTGATTGAGAAAATCTGAGGTTTGCAAGGTGAAAATTAAAAGCCATCAATAAGCTCTTTTAACTGCTTTTGCAAAACAAAGTGGTAAAGAGGAAACCTCTTTTGATGTAAAAGAAGGAAGAAAAATGTACATCAAAGGGTGGTATAATCCTCAGTAACATTTTTTTACAGAAACAAGGACTTCAGAAAAAAAATACAAAATAGCTGCAATATATTAGTATGCTTGCTACAGTGCATGCAACATGAAGTTGAGGAATATTCCAAACTCATACAGAGCAGTTTCTGGAGAGCCAGTAGCACATTTGCACTATAAATGTGATCTCTCAAAGGAAAAGAAACATGACAATCTCAGATGTGTTGTAAATTGCTCTGCACCGATAACGTTAAATAAGGACCCCAGAAGGGCAGTCTATGTCAATCAGGTAAGTCTAGCTTGGGCTGGAAAATAAATATAGCAGAAAACAGCAGCAGCATATGAGCAATTCTGTGAAGAGCTCAATGATCATCTACCAAAAGATAAGAAAGTTACATTCACAATCCTTTTCCCCCTCATCTACCCGCCCTCACATCACTGTAAAGAGAGAAAAAGTGCCTCTTAGACCTTGCTTTTCCTCTCTCTCACTGATATTGGTACATTCTACTCTAACTTTATAGTATCAGATTTGCAGGAGTTTTACATTTGTTTGCTTTTTAGCTTCTCTTTTGTTTGTGGGGGGTTTTGTTGTTGTTTGTTTTTTAAAAGCCCATTTCTTGGGCTTGTCAAAAAGTGCCAGCCATGTATTTACCAAACAGGCAGGCTGCTAACTGCACCAAAACCCATTGCCACTAGTTTGGCCTGAGGTAGCCAAAGTATTTAGTATTTGGAAGTACATCACAGCATAATCTTTTACAGTAGCTGGAAAAAACAGGTAATACACTGGAAAAGGCTCACAGGCCTTCAAAACGTTACAAAACCAACACCAATCCCTCACTTCACAATGCAACACAGACTATTTTTTTGAGGGATTGAAGAAGGAGGGTGAACCCATGTGCAAAACTACAATGTGCTATCCAGTCAGATAAATATTGCACTCAGGAGAGATGGCCACTTTTCATGTCTCCTTCAGGACCTACAAGGGGGGGGAAAAAAAAATCAAAATGATTGCAAGCAGTTTGCACGTTTGGGGTTCAGGTTTTTTTTAGTTTGTTCATTTTTCCAATCTGTTTTTGTGAGGTACCTAACAGTTGGCTAAAAGCAGCTAAGCAGCTTCCCAAGATAGACTGACAGTACCCAAAATCTGCTCTTTTTAAAGCCAACAAAAACTTGGAAACCTCTGGAATGCCAGAAAGTTGTAGCCTTTGGGCTTGGCTTAGCATAACCATCCTTGCACTGAAACCAGCAACTCAACTAACATCAGAGTAAGCCTGCTAAATTCATGTCTTGATCTGCTGGCATTAAAATCTCACATTCACATTTCTGCCAAAGGATTCTAGAAAGAATCGGGAGAGGCACTTCCAGTATTTTCATACCAAAAGGAAACTCTGCTGCTGTACTAATGTACATTAAGCACAACTTGCACTTTTGGATGACACAATTCAGGGAGAATAACCAGAGGAAATTACTTCCCTCCAAGCCTGCTTCAGCACTCACCTGGTCTGAATGAATTTTGGGTACAAAAATTACCTGTTTTGGTCAGATATATCCACTAGCAGTGTCCCAGAATTGGGCTGATGTAGAGAGGGATTATTTTCTCATTACATTTCCATTTCTGAAAGTTTTTAAATAAACAGTGTTTATGCAGATAAGGAAAAGCTCACCTGAAACTCACACACCACTGCTGGCATGAACATAGCTTTTAGTGCATTTTTGCAGTACCATTCTGCACCTGCTCAAATCTGCTTAACAACCAATTCTGCTGTTAACCAGCAAACAGACACAAGGGTCATTTTTCTCCTTTCTGTAGTGAGGACACTTTCCCAAAGGAAAACTATAAACAGAAACCATGACATTCAGCACAGTTCAAGCAGATGTGAGTGACTGACTTGGGAGCAAGTAATGACACGCAGCTGCTGATGGCAGGTTTGAGGCTGCTGGAAGCCCACAAAAAATCGGCAGGCATTGCTAGGGAGCTTTTGCATTAGAAAGGCCTTGTGAATTATAGTAGTTACTGCAAAAGACTGCACGGTTAAGGGACATCTACATCACTCTCACTTGTAGTTCAGTGTGCCTTAAAGTTTGTTCCTTAGCCTTGTGTGCTAATTAAGAATCAGCATTCTTAAATTTTAAACTACTTAGAGGAGCTCAGTGACAGAATTCTGATTATACATGGTGGTTTTGTTCCCTTTTTCCTTTCCAATATTACACTTCAGTACTTGGGGCAATGCCATTTCTTGAAAATGAGCTAAAGCATGCTGCATGAGAATAAAATACTATAGTCAGGGTCTGGTGCTGCATAGGTGCCCAGCACAACTGCAACACAGGATACTCTCTGGCTCTGTTTTTCTTCTGCTACAGTGGGAAAATGCTCTCAGTATATCTGCCCCACATAACCTGAGAAAGAAAGCTAAGAATTTGTTCCTTCCAACCTGCAACCTTTCTCAGCTTCCTTCAAAATAAATAATGTAGGTACATACACACACACTAGTCTCTGCAGGAATCTACCTTCCAAAAATTAGAGCGAGATGAAACATGATTCTACTTTCCCACTTCTAAAGGAAGGGGAGGGGAGTGGGAGAGAATAAATTCACCAAAACCACGTTTTCTGACACTTCCTGAGACTGAAGACTTAAAAGAGAGACTTTGCATCAGCAAAGTTTTCCAAAATACAGTTCTCAAACTACATATTGCCGAACCTGCCTGTACAGCATCAATACTGTGTTACCAGTCCCCATTGCAAAGTCAAAATCTGTCAGGTGCAAGTGAGGCTCTGCATCCTGGGGTTCTCACCAAAAAGGCCTTTGCAGTTACACATGCACTGCAGCTGCGACAGCAATTTGTCACATTTTGTAGTTTACAATGACCTCATTTTCCAGTGACTTGTTTTGACATTTTCTTTGCTTTAGCACATAGGCCTTTCTGAAGTAATTTCCATCCAAATGCCTTTAAAAAAACATCCACAGTTAAAATTACAGGAAATACAATGGAAGACTAAAGTAACTTAGACCAGAGAATGAATGGCAGGGGCACAGAATATGATTCTTTC